TGTCTTTGGGTCTAAAATGAGTCTCTTGCAGGCAGCATAACGATGGGGCTTGTTTTTTTTTTATCCAATCTGATACCCTGTGTCTGCATTGTTTGATCTTTGTTATGGTTTTACAAGTTCATTATTATTATACTGTTATCATTTTTCAGGGCTACTAATTTTTACAATGTTTTGAAATATGATGAGGTAGAATATAGATTATTCACTTGAGACACGTTGTAATTTGGCTTTTTCTATTGTCTTTGTTTCTAATACAGATGACATTATAATCCTTAAGAAGTTAGAAAGTAAAAACACTGAACCAAAAAAGAATGGAACACAGAACCGTATAAAAAAGAAACCAATTTCAAGACAGCGAGCAAAGGCTCATAGGCATCGCCAGCAAAGAGGTAAAGTATACTAAAAATCAAACGTTGCAAAGAATCTGAAATATTTGTGAATAACTAGGTAAGCAAATTCTCAAACTTGGAATGTATTCTAAAGTTGCATTATGTTCCTAGTTTTATTTTTCTTGGAAATGTAGGCATATAGGTTTGGTAAGAATTTATGCCATGACAAATGAAAACAATTTTTAAAATTTATATGTGTTTCTTCCATAAGGGAGAGCAGGATGAGAATGATAAATATTTTATACCTGGTCACAAGCCTGCCTGGTTGGTCCAATTCCACCTTTAAGAAGCAATACAGGAGGAGTAAGAGCATGGTTAATAATCTGAGCACCATGGCATCCACATTCTGAAAAATCAAATGGTGTATGGCAGAGTACAGAACATGAAGAAAGCCTTTTTTGTATTTCTAATCCTATCGGTCAGTGCAGTCTGCATATTTTAATAAGAATGTGCTGTAGACTGCCATTGTAGAGAAGCCTTCCCAACAATTAAGGCTCTCCGTGGTTTAGTTAACAGGCTGCGATCATCTTGACAGTGTACATACTACTCCAAGTCCCTGCCAGTTGCCCACCCAGCTTCATTATAGTCCTTGTTCGAATCCTTCAGTGGCTTAGCGGGTTCTGAGAAATGGAGGGATGGTGGTTATTATAGGAACAAAGCTGCTAAGAATGGTGAGGTGACCTATTCTCATGTTTCTTTTTTAAAAATTTATTTTAGAGAGAGAGCATGCACTCAGGGAGGAGCAGAGGGAGAGGGACAAGCAGAGTCTGTGCTGAGCACAGAGCCCAGTGTGGGGCTTCAGCCCACAACCCTGAGACCATGACCTGAGCCAAGACCAAGAGTCGGATGCTTAACCGACTGAGCCACCCAGGCACCCCATCCCATTCTCGTGTTTCTAACTAAACATAAAATTGATCTTTGTGAGCCTTTTGGAGATCCATCTTCTTTGTTTCTTAAACTATCTTTACACCCAAAGCAAAGCAGACAATTGAGGGAAATAGTTACATGATTAATACAAAGCAGACAGTTTTTCTCCATCTCTCCTTTTTCTAGTAGATAGATGATATGCCCCAACTTTGTTGGCATATAAAAACAAATTTGAAGTATTGTATACAAAGAAGACTACTATATTAAGGTATGCAAATAGAAACAGTATGGCAAAGACTTTCCTAGAATTCGGTGAGACTCTCAGATGATATCAAACTAATGAAATGTCAAGTTTTGCAAAACCCAAGGCATAGCGTCAAAACAGTGAGATCACAGATAATATTTCTGAGAGATACGTTGAATTTACTGACTGAAAATACAGAAAATAATTATTTTTTCAAAGGATTCTCAAGATTCAGAAAGAACACTGAGAAAGGAAATGATACAAAACCATACCAAGAACCCTCTGGATTCAAGCCCAGACAAAGCTCTTTAAACAAGCAGCCTGTAAATAAGCAGGTAAATAAACACTGAGAATTAACCAACATAAAAGGCCCTAAATTTAATATAATTCTTAATATTAAGGATTATTTTAAATTCCATTGATTGAGCAGAGATTGTTTCTTAGTATTCCCTCCTGGTGCCTTGAACAGTTAGTTCTGAAAACTGTTTAGTCTATAAAAATAGGGGCAATGAAAGTTTTTTTTAAATTGCCCATAGAAACTGCTTTGACAAAATATCATTATATTTGTTTTGCAAAATTGTGGCTCTTTGCAGGAGAAGTGCAATGAAAATTCTAAGTCCCAAGCAGAGAAGAGTGGAAGCCAGGCGGAGGGGAACCAGCATCAACTGGAAGGATCTCAAGGCCAATCATCAGAAAATCAACACCATTCAGAGAGATCTCATGGCCAGTCGGAGAGTTCTTGTAGCCAGTCAGAGAGTTCTCATGGCCAGTCGGAAAGATCTCATGGCCAGTCAGAAAGATCTCATGGCCAGTCACAGAGTTCTAGTGGCCAGTTGGAGAGATCTCCAGGCCAATCCAAGAGATCTCGTGGCCAGTCAGTGAGATCTCCAGACCAATCGGAGAGATCTCGTGGCCAGTCCGAGAGTTCTAGTAGCCAGTCCGAGAGTTCTCCTAGCCAGTCCGAGAGTTCTCCTAGCCAGTCTGAGAGTTCTT